TAGCAAGTATAGTCGATTCCTAATACAAGTTGACATACATATGCAGGCATTTCGTGCTCGAGAATTTTGAAAATCGGGTTTCTGAAGTCGAGAACGATGGTATGTGGATTTTCTAGGGTTTTTTGGTAGTCCTCCTCTTTTTTGGGAATAAGATTTTTGAAGCTAGTTGAGCAATTGTTTAGTTGCCTCGGATCGGATTGGTTTGTAAGTTGGTAACCAGTAGAAACGAAATACAGTTATGCAATGAAATTGCATGAAATACGAAGATGCACAGAAAATGGAAACATCCATAAATTGCGAGAAGATAGATTTGCATTCTGCTTACTTTAAATAGTAAGGAAAACCTGGAAACATTCTTTATACTATCCTTCTCGGCGATGCAAACATTGCTTGTTAAATTTTTCGCGTGCGCCGCCCCTTGCGCGCAAGCGTTTTTATCGTTAGGAATCGACTATGACACAATGAAACAGATCCCACTTCTATTGTGGTGTGCAGTCTTATTGATTTCTGCTCTTTTCAGGTATGATATGCGCCGATTTGCTGCCCATAATCTTGCTTTGATGTACCGTGCTAGTGGAAACGATCACCTGGCAAGGAAAATGTACGAAAAATATTTGGTTGTCTGAGTACTATTGCTTTTCAATCTACTGTTGCTCGGCTTATTCATGCAAAGAACTGATCTCAGAATGTGCATATATGTTTTCATTTGTTAACTTGTTTATGTAAATTTGAAAAGTTGTTATCTTGTAACTTTTTGTTTACAAGAGCTTTATAATAAAGTTTATAATAGATGAAACTACTTTGTTGAGGTGTTTCATACCAGTTTATCGCTTAACCATGCACTTTGTAAAAGTCCCTCTTGATTTTTTTCTCCGTAGCAGGCAGCATGTTTGTGCTAGCACTTCTGGAGGACACTGTGGCTGTAAAGCCGCACGAACTCGACAAGGAGTTGGGAGCGGTACGTAGTCGGAATTTATTCAAACATTTCCTAGCTGCAAGAGTGTCTCTCACTTAAGGTGCTGAGGCGTCGCATTAATCAACGACTTTCTAATAAAGTAGTGCCAGAGTTGGGGCTTTGCATATGCGTATACGATCTATTGGAAGTGGGTGTTCTCTATATATTACCAGGCGAGGGCAGTGGTCATACAAGAGTTAAAGTGAGTATCTTTTGATTTGAGCTGGAACTGCAGATTTAGCTTGGGGTTTCTGAGTGCTTCTGAGTAAAAGTAGTTTTCTCCAGTTCCGTCTAGTTGTATTCCGGCCTCATGTTGATGAAGTAATCCAAGCACGAGTGGTTTCTTCAAACAGTCATGGACTAACCTTGTCAGTGGAATTTTTCGAAGACATTACCATTCCCGCTGAACGGCTTCCCGAGCCACACGTGTTCGAGCAGAGCGAACAGGTTGTTCTTTTCATGAATAGAGAGAGTATTTTGCTACAATAACAGATCTGCTTTCTATCTGAACTCGAAGGTATTTGTTTGATTCGTGTTTGTCATTGGTTAGCAGATGCCTAAGGGAAAAAAGTTTTGTGAATCTGTTTTACTTACTTATCTACTACTATCCTTCTAATCCTTCAAATACTTTTTTTTAGTTCATAATTCAAAGATCTGGGAAAGGAAAGAAACCAAAATTCTTAAATAAAATCCTTCTGCCATTTCTCAAGACCCACCCTTAATTTAGTTTGTATTTCGTAATTAGCGAATGGATGAAAGAGGGCGAAGGAGTCATAGTAGGAACGCCAGTGTTTCTGTTTGAGTGCAAAAGGGATGCCTCATGCTGGAATCGAACCAGCGACCTTCTGTTTACTAGACAGACGCTCTGCCCCTGAGCCAATG